GTTGATTATTTTGAAATAAAAAATGGTACCAGAAACCCATTCCTCTCCTTTTACATTATACACTGTCCTACCAAACTGGATGTCAGAGTATCAGAAAACTAGTTCTTTCTGAGCCCACTGTTCCACGAACACATGAAGAAGCATCTTTCTATTACTGCTCTAATTTGAACACAAACCAAAAGATTTCAGTGCTGTGGGTCTCCTTTTGTCTTTGATATTTGACAGTTTAATTATAATTTGCCTCAGTGTGGGTCTCTTTGGATTCATCTTGCATAGAACTTGCTATGTTTCCTGTAATTGTATATTCATATATTTCTTAATTTTGGTCATGCCTCTCCAAATAATTTCTCTGAATCCCCCTTCTTTTCTTCCATCCTTTCCTCTCATTTCTATCTCTATTTCTATTTCTTTCTCTATTTAATATCTATCTCTCTCTCTCTCTTTCACACACACACACACACACACACACACACACACACACACACACACACACCTCTCTTCCCTTTTGGGGACTCCTTTAATGCATCAATCTGTAATAGTGCTCCAGAACTTCCTTGGGCTTTTTTCACATTTCATTATCTTTTTACTCCTCAAACTTGACAATCTTAAGCACCCTCTTTTCAATCTTGCTAATTCTTTGTCTTTCCTGCTTGAGTCTATGTTTGAAGCAGTGTAATGAATTTTCCATATTATAATTATACTTGTTCAACTCCAAGCTTTTTGTTTAGTTCCCTTTTAAATTTTTTTTTTGCTTGTATTTTTGTTTTTGTTCATATGTCACTTTTTTCTGATTTCCTTCCCCCTCCCTTTTTTTTTTAAAGATTTATTTATTTATACAAGAACCGGGGTACAGGCCAGATGCGCGGGAGGATGAGAGGATTCACGAGAGACAGAGCGGGGAACAGAACAGGCAGACTGACTGAAATACACTGCTGAGGGGAGCAGTGGGCGAGACAGGAGAGGTCTGCTCACCATGTGGGACTCTTGTCAGCCGGCCGCGATCAAACCCATGCTGCAGAGGCTGAGGACAGCTTCACAGCGCTGCGCTAAACCGCCTGTGCCACCAGGGAGGCCCTCTGATTTCCTTTGACTCTATTCATGTTCTACTTTAGCTCTTTGAGAATTTTAAGGTACTAGTTTTCTGTGGTATTCTTTTTATTGAGGTAACATTGGCTTACAACACTGTATATGACTTAGGGGTACAGTTACCCCTAAAGTACATCATTTCAGATGTACCTTAGCATCACCAAGACCAGGCACCTCTTCCCCCTCACCCCTCACCTCCGCCCCCAGCTCTTTCTGGGTGCTTAGGGATCACAGTGAAAATCACAAGTAGAGAAGAGGGGTGACAACTTAGAATCTCAGACTTATCCAGTGACACATTTCTCTTTTTGACTTGACAGCGAGGTCAGGAGAGATCTGCCACATCTTAAGCAGAGAGAAAGGATCTAGTAGAAGGATGTGATGAAGTGGAAGAAACAAATGCATAGAAGGAAGGTGGTCCTGAGCACAAAGGGAGACCTCCCTGTTCTGGAGGAGACATGGCTATGTAAGCAGCTGAGAGGGAAGTGACTGAAGCCAAGATCCTGTTGCCCTGCAATCTGTCATAATGCCAAGGAGCAGGATGTGAACAACTGTGGGGGTGGCTGGGCTGTGGTAGTGACAAAAGCCCTAGGGACAAGGAAACCGTGGATGTAGCAAGCAGAGAGGAGGTGAATCTTTCAGGTTGCACTTGATTAGATGGAGAGGAAGGCTGGCAGTCGATGATACTACTAGTCATCTAGTCGATGATTAGATGGAGGGAAGTAGGGATGGGTGGCATAGTCCAAGAGAAGTTAGGATTTTGCAGTCAAGGAGGTATGATTCAGAAGAGACAATGCACTGAGATCAAGGAGATAATGGACTTCTGAGGAAGAACAGTCTTTTCTTAAGATGCTATGGGATAAGGAGGAACTGAAGCCACCACTGTTTTTTGTTTTAAGCATATAAGTTTTTACTCTCAAAGTGCAATACAATTCTCCAGCTAAAACAAGAATAGTGGCATAAAATTGTTCTGAAAATTACAATAGAAAGATAACACTCACTGATTTATTTTTCCAAATTAGCAAGACTATTTACAAATAAGCAGATCTCCAATGATTAAAATATATATTAAAATGGCAAGTCTATTACTGTTTGAAATTGAAGGCACATTTGATCTGCGTGTTTAAAACAGACAAACTTTGTGGTATAATGACAGATTCATTTCACTGTTGTCCCCTAAACACATGGACACCCAAATTGTCAAGAAACACTTAATATTTAGTGAATGGTTTCAAAGGAAATCTTTGGATATAAGTTTAATACAAATAAAACATACAAAACACATTCCTGATAACTATAAATACTAATAACTAAGAGGCATTCAAGAAATGGCATCTCTTTAAATAATACGTATTAAGTAAATTAAAGGTACTTCAAATACAAAGGAAAAACAAAATAGCTTATGCTTAGAGAAAATGGGAGACAGACTTCTGCAAGGAAGGTTGAAATTTAGCAGAATTTGTTGAGTAAGGTACAATGTCCCACAGATATATTGGAAGATTTGGGAAGGGGGGTAAGCTAAGGGTTTGATGGGCTGGGACAGGCATGTAGACAGCAGTGTGAGTGCAGAATAGGATTTTATGGATATAATAATAATCTGTGTATTTGCTAATATTTCAGTAGACAAAGAGAACTAGGTCAACCTTAGCTAAGGCAGGGATGAGAAACTCTAAGATTACAGAGAGCAGATGTTCATTTTAGCATCTGTGTAGCCTGAGTAAGCTGAAAAGATTAAGAGCGGATAGTAAGCATGATGCATTGTACTTACTGGGTTTCACAAGGCACAGAGGGGGAGGAATAAGAAAGAGACAAAAGCTGGGCAAACTTAGAAGGACCCAGAAAAGTTGGGTAGATTCTGAAAGGATGGTAAAAATACAGAATCAGAATTAACACCAACTGAATAACACAGAACCTTTATTCTGCAAAAAAGGTCTGCCTCTGAGATCAAAAATTGACCTCATTCTCTACAAATTGCCCTTGGTCACCATGTGGGTGCTGCGGGCACAGTCAAGTCCAGGGCTGAGCCCGACAGCTTAGTGGCTGGAGTGTTGCTGCCAAAAGCTCTTAGCTGACTCCCTTCCTGGGAACTGCCCTCAAAGAGAGTTGGGGGAGCACAGCACACATACACTGACCATCCACAGCAGCTTTCAGTTTGGGGCATTTCTGAAGAGTCACCCCAAATTCAGAGCTCTTATTTTGAGGCTAGTGAACTCACCTAAAAAAACAAAGGAAAACTTCATTTTCTTCTTCCTTTTGTTCTTGGGCCTAATCTTCCCTTTCTCCAAGTAGATGGGAAAGTTTTTTTGTATTTTAGAGCTGAGACTTCAGTTCAGTTCAAAGGGTCTGGTCCCTCTGGGCATTAGCTGAATGGCTATGTGGGAGGAGGTGGAGGAGGGAACCTGAGTTGAAGAGGTCATGAGCTAGCTCTGGGATAAACATCCTGATTGCTGATGAGACAGATGAGAAATGGGGTGTCCTCTGGGCAGTGGAGTCCTGCACCATACTCTTGTGTGGTAGGATCTTAGATGGGGAAGGCTGCATGGCCCTGATCACCAACATTTTGGGTTATCATGGGAAACAATATCCCGACTTGATACTTGGTCCTTTCAGATTCCAGGAATGGAGGCAGGTGCTGCCCAGAACTCTGCTGCAGTGAATCTGACTCCCCTGGGTGGGCTGTCCTAGTAATCACACATTCCTTTGAAATGAAGAGGGCACTGGGGATGGCCCAGCTACCCTCCTTTGAGGCATCATTAGTGGTAGATTTGCTGATGGTAGCCTTAAATAACTGACTAAAATGATGTTATGATCTTTAAAATATATATATTCCAATAGCCATTGTGCTTTATGGTCAGAATTAGAATGAACTGGTGAGCAAAACAAATTTTCTTGATTATAATTATCATTCTTAAGCAAGATTTTCAAAACACAGATTTCTTGTGATAAACAGTGCAGAAATTTCCTTTGGAAATGAACATCAAAGGATAATGCTGTTTGGAATTCTATAGACATTCAAAATGGTCTTAGAACATGTAAGTGGAATTCCATAAGCTAAATCAAATTTAAAGACCACGAAAGTATTAATTTTGCCCAATTCTCTTAGAAAACTTGGTATTCAAAAATAATGAGCTATATATAACAGAGAAGAAATCTTCCTCAAACCTGTAGTTTAAAATTAATATGGACCAATACTATAGGCAAGTGTTTAAAAATGTGAACACAGAACTGTTAACAAAATCTTATTTCTTGCTGATTCACCTGTTTTTCATCAACGTTTCTTTGACACATGTGTATCAAAGTCAGAAAATAAACCTGCATATTTCCTTGAAACGCTAATGTGACCTACTGAGGGAAAAAGCTGTTCTACCCGAGATTACTTGGAATGTATTAATCTAAACTCAATGGTGGGCTTCTGGGCTTGCTGGGATTCCATCTGCCTTGTAAATGAGTAGGTTTTACATTTTCTATGAATCCTGAAAGAAAGGCTTAGGTGAATGTGAACAGTGTGAACAGAAAGACTTGGGAATACGAACAGTCTAAAACAAAAGAATCTGTTGCACTTTCAATGAAATTATTTTAATTTACTGACTTCTCAGAAAATTCCAGTCCTTGCCATCTATTCCAGCAGCATGCAGTAGGTGGCACCTAAAAGCTTACTGGAGGAGAGCAGGCGCCATTTAAGCAGGAGCAGCCGCAGCAGTTGGCACATCTCAGAAGTCAGAGATTGAGGACGGAGGAGGAAGGCCGGGAACCGACCCGGCACAGGGCGCAGGTGCACGGCGCGCGGGCCGGCGGGGCGCACGGCAAGCGAGCAGGGCGCGCGGCGGGCGGGAGCAGACGGCCTCGTCTCCGAGCGGACCCAGCGCGCCCCGCCTGCCTCCGGGAGGAGCTGCAGCGGCACAGCCAGCGCTGCCCAGTCCTATGCGAGGCGAGCTCGGCAGCAGCTCTGAGCGGAGTTGTGATCGTCCTCAGGTAACGGATTTCCACTCCTTGGCTGTGGCTTCCCTGCGCCCGCATTGGGGCCCTGCGGGCTGGGGCGCTCCTGCAGGCGAGCCCCCCAAAAGGGCTGGAGGCTATCCGGGAAGGCGAGGCAGCTATATAAATATTGAAGTTGGCGGGGGGGGGGGGGGGGGAAGCTCTGTCTGTATTCTTGCTGGGGTGGGGGATCCTTTCTGGATCTCCTGATTTAAAACACGCTCTTAAACAAATCTGTATTTCACAGTGTAGGGGGTTCCTTCCGAAACTGGAATTTTAGAAGATTTAAAGCAGGAGTTTTAGAAGATTTTGCAGTGCAGGTATTTCTGTTCAGGTGGAAGTTGATTTAATGGATCTGGGAAAGTCATAAAAAGATGTGGTCCGAAGTGAAAAAATGCAAAGCACGTTAGAGGCTGCTGTTCAGTTCAGCATGTTTTCCTGCTAGACCGCAGCAGTAAATGGGCTTGGCTGAGACGGGGCTCAATATTTTGATTCTCCGTCGAGAGACTGCATGCCGTGATCGCTACATGTGTGCCTTCCTGTTTTCTTGTGATGAGAGCAGAATAGAGGAAGGCGCCGCATCTCAGCCTTAGTTGTAAGAATGTGGTTTCCATTAGTGACAATGACCGCTGACAGCTCCCGGTCTCGCTGCAAAGCACCGCTGGCTGCTCCCGGTGTGGGAACCTGCCGAGTCTTCCTCTGGGAAAAAATGCTATTTTTCCCCTTTAAAACTCCAGTTCACATGCTGTGGGGGATTTGGGAGACTTTTCAACTAGAAGCTCGCTGAATCATGTTACATGACCTGTCATGCAACGTTGTGGTGGAATTTGGTTCTCTCTGAATGTGCAGTGACACAGCGAGCCTGCCTGAGGAATTCATTGTGCACGTTGGTGCTTGTTATCTTTCAGCGACCCCCTTCCACGTGAGAAGCTAGTCTCAGCATCTGAGACCTTTTCTTCTTGAAACTGAAAACTTTAAAAATATTCTTTTTTAAGGAAGATTTTCTAGGTAACGATGAAAAACTGGAGCATTTTACATTTCAGATCAGTCCAAGTGCACTGCTTTTCCAGTGGCATTTGGATTAGAAGAGGTGGAGTAGGAGGGAGAGAAATGGGAGGATAAAATGAGAATAAATTTAACAAATTTGTGGGGGAATAATACTATTATTTTGGGTTGTTATTTGAAATTGCGAATTGTCAACAATTTTGTCTCTGGAAATGCAGAGGGTCTTGTGGGCTGAGGTACTGGAAAACCATAGTTCATCTTCTAGAAATAGAATACAGGCAAGGAAACATTTTCTTCTTATTTAATGCATGCCATTTAATTTGGTCATAGGGATGATAGTCCCCAGTGAATGCAAGGAGAGGGGAGAAGGAAAGGAGGGGAGAGAGACAGGGAGAGAGAGGGGCAGGTGATTGATTGCCTTTTGCACTATGACACAGAATAGCTGCCCACCCCTCAGTTATCTCAGCAGATGGCAATTATACTTGCATGGTTATTGCAGAAGGCTCCAGAATCTTTTCCTTTTACTGCTTTAATAGAGTTGTTCCTAAGATGAGACTCAGGAAACACCCAAATTGAATTCCAAGTTGTGCTAGTCCCTTTTCAGCTATGTCTAACAATTTAGCATTCTCAGCAGTCAGCAATGCCACTTCATCTCGAGAAGATTAATAATTTCATGTGATACATGTCCTATAAACCGCACATGACTTTGCCCCACTAAAATGTATTATTTCAGGAGTGAATACTCTATACTCTGCTACTTGCATATCTTATCAAAATATTAAAACATATATGGGGGTTAATTAAAACCAATAATGGGGGTTCTTTTATCAGAAGAGTATCTGTGATAATGAAAAACACATTGTTCATTCTTCTAATTTGGTACCATTTTGGTTGATAAATTAGTATATTGGAAATTGGCCTAATGGCTTAGACAAAATCATGATTTCCCACCAAGATAAATGCAGACAATGTATGCACTGAAGAATGTCTCTGTTACAAAGAGGGACTTTTGGTTGTCTGGGGTGAGTAGGTTGCCTGTCAACTGCTTTAAGTTAAAAAAAGGGCTAACTGCTTACCTGTAACTTTCCGTTCAGGTAATCGCTGTGTCCCGTTTTCACTTATAAGGCAGATTGAATCAATTTATCAATCAATCTTATCCATCCATCCATCCATCCATCCATCTTTCCATCACATTTAATCATCTATTTACCCACCTATCTACCATTTACTTATCTAATCTATTTAACTTTTTATCTATATCATCTGAGTATGTATAATGGACAGATATCTCTTTTAAGGTGTAATTGATTTCTAGGACATTGATTTTGGTTTTGATTTTTCTAGGAAAATAGTTTCTCTTAATTAAAAGGGAAGATGATGATTTTTATGTCACAATTGCTAATGTTTACAGCTTAAATTTATATACGCATGCACATATATGGATCAAGTTAAAATTTATTTCATTGATTGAAATGTTACTTTAGTTTTTATTTTATGTTGTGATTTATAAATTTCTTTTCTTTCACCTGACATTATGGTACTGGGAAAAATTGTATTTCATTCTCTACCCCTTTGCTCTCGCCTCTGGCAAACTCAAGAAAAAAAGATTCCTTGTAGCTCTCTTGTTAGTGCAGCTAAGTGTTTTCCTACAAACCTGTACTGTCTTATAGAAACAAAATATGAGTCATATGCATAATTTAAAGCATTCTAGTAGTTACATAAGAAAAGTAAAATAAATAGGTGAAATTAATGTAAAAGTATATTTTCATTAACCCAATATATCAAAATGACCATTTAAAGATGTAAGCAACACAAAATACTAATAAGATTTTCTACATTTTTTTCTCCTGCTATGTGCACATTTACAGAACATCTCAGTTGGGATTAACCATGTTTCAAGATGTCAGCAACCCGTGTGACTAGAGTCTACTGTAATGGTCAGTCCAACTATGGAATGTTAATTTCTTGATAAGGCAAATTAAAAGCTGAAATGCCAGGAGCTATTAAACAAATTAAACACTATAAAATAGATATACAGATGATCTCAAATTGTTCTAAGATCTGTGTCCTACACCTCTCTCCCTTTATCCCCCCATTAACTAGCCATGTCATCTTCCCTACCAACTCCTTCATAGTCCAAAAAGAGGACTGGATCAAATACTTTCCCTGGTTCTATGAAAAATAATGAATGGATAGACTTGTGGATTCAACCCCCTGTAGCCTCGAGCTCTGTAGTGGCAGACAAAAGGTAGCAGCGCTGAGTGGTGGCATCAGCATTTTGCACCAGCATTAAGTTTGCTATAGTCCAAGCCTTGATTACAGGCAGCAACTAAGTCTCATGTTCTGTTCAAGATCAGTCAGCTTTTATAGTTCGATTCCTTTACTGGACAAGTGGCAGCAAATCTATTGTGAAATCAATAAACGGCTAGTGGATTAGAATTGATCATGTAATAGAATATGGTTTATAGATCTTTTAGTATTAGCCTCTATTGATATGAGTATTTTGCATGTTTGTATGTATTTTGTCACCATTAAATAAAGTTTGGGAAAATGTGAATCTTTATAATTGATTGACCCATGAATACGTCCTTCTTGAAACAGAAAAATGAATGGCCTTCGTGAAAAGATCTAAATTTCTTCACCCTTTCCTTGAAATCAGTGAGAGCTGTAGGGAGGGATACCATTTCCCTCCATGATTCTGTCTCTGAAGTCACACAGGAGATATAAAGAAAGCAGCGGTTTGTATAAAAGGGGCATGTGCAATATTCTTCTAAAGCTAATTGATGTCTGGAAAGTGATTATTTTTCAGAGGACATAAGCACACAGGAGCTTTACATTAGGCATCCTCACATTAATCTCTCTCTCTCCCCTCACCCCGACCCCCCACCCTCAGCTTCTGAAGCTGAGGTCCAGATCCTTATCCTCATTCAAACAGAGGAGCCCTTGGAAAGGGAAGCTTTCCTTCCTATGTCATCTCTATCAGTTAATTCCAGTGTTTTATTAGGATACCTCAGTCTTGAATTTGGAATTTATCTATCTTCAGAGGATGCTGAACAGAGCATAGTGATTAATGTCCATGTCTCTGCATCTAGATCAAAGTGAGTGTTCACTCAGCTCTATCATGTGAAAGCCCAGCTCAGTGACATTTCCCCTTTTGAATAAACATGGACTTGTCTCTCTAACCCTACCACCCAGAAGGCACCTTTCCCAAATACAAGTGTACACATAAAATCTGTGGATTTTTCTCACTGCCTCCTTGCCTGTGAATCAGCCCCCTCCGATGGAAAGGAAGGTGTCTGTGGACTAAGTCCTGACACTTAAGGCAGGATTGTGTTTCTCTTTTGAAGCCTCTCTGGACTGCATGGGTTTCCTGACTGTAGAATGAGTAGGAGGACCACAAAATGTAAAGCTGACCTACCCATTAGAGTAAAATCTATGTTTTGCAAACTAGGAGTAGGTTGGAATTGTTGAAGGAGAGAAATGCCGCTGACCTAGGTATTGAAAACAACCTAAATTTCCCAGAATTTCACAACAACCAAGTCTTTCTATATTTTCTACTATCTCAGATTTAGAGATGATATTCTGCGCATCTCATTCTTTGTCCATTCTTTTAAGTGGGAAAGTCCTCTAAGTACACCAGCACTTTCAAGATGCTGAAATAATTCAGGTTACCAGAGCAAATATTTAACACCAAGAATGACAATGTAAATATAGGAGAATTTTTAGTGATTTCAGAGTAGGCAATAATTTTCTAAGGATGATCCCAGACTGGGATACTGAGGAGGAAATGTTTGTTAAAGTTGGCTACGTAGAAATTTTAAATTTCTTCCCAGGAAAAATAAATAATATCAAAAAACAAATTCCACTTGAGAAGAAATATTGAAACATATATCAAATGATGTCTAATGTCCTTAATACAGTGGTCCTCAAATGTTTTGATCATCTTAGTTTCAATGGGCTTGATAAACCTGAGACTGCAGGATTTAACCCTA